GGAAAATTCCTATGACATCACCTCAATTTCCTTTAGTATAAAATATAGCCACATGCCTCTTAGAGTGAAGGTTGTCCTAACTGATAGACTCTCCTACCCGAACAGAATTATGACTGTCAGCAGGAAAAAAGAGTCAGAGCCACCCGCAGGACGGGATAACCCATGGACAGATGCTCTTGGATACAAGATTCATGCTGAAACCAGCTCTCAGAGCATAAAAGCAAAGTTCATGGAGGAAAGAATGTTGGGAACCAATATGCTTCCCTCCCAGTTACCTGCCATCACCACTTGCTTCAGAATAGACTCAGGGTCAGGTAATGGGGTGCGAGAGTATAGAAACGAGGCAAGTAAGCCAGGGTAACTACTTAATGGGGAAGCTGTAGAGTGGCAGGCGACACCCACGCCCTGGCACCTGGGGAATAAGGGCAGCTGCTCAAAAATAGAAAAATACAGTGGAGAGCAGAGGACCTGAGCCTTTCAGATAAGAACGTTAAGTGTTTGGAGCCCAGTGGCTAAGAAAGACATTGTCAAATGTCATGCTGAAAACAGGAAAGCTTTCCTGGGCCCTGGATGTGAAGGCCATGAAAGAATGAAAAAGGAAGCCTGTAAGAAAAATAACAATGACATGGAGTACTAGCCTGGTGCAGTCCCTTTGAAGTTTCTTACAGGAAGCAAAGGAAACAACAATCCAACAGCGAGCCTGTCTTCCACACCACACCTCCTTCCCTATCTGCATATTGGGTCAGAGAGGGCAATAGTAGGGCCAGCTCTCTGTAAGAAATCAGCGCAGTGCATTTCAAGAACAAAGCCTGTGCCATTTACCTGCAGATCAAAGTTTGCTCTTAATAAGATGTGTGTTGAAGGGGGCAGAGAGAGGAATGTTGCTCCTTCGTTCCTTTAATAAGGGAGTATGGGCTGAGTGACCAGGTAAGCAGTGTGATCTGTGAACAGAAACTGGTCCTTTGGAAGTGGGACTATGGCTAAATAAAAGCCTTAAGAGACACAATCACAGCAACTGTTCACTGCAGCAGGGTGGTAAAGCGTGATGTCTGTGCTTGCGTGTGTGTGCAAGGGTGTGTGCAATATTTTCTGCTGCTGTTGCTAAGATGGTTTCCCCCCTCACTGGCCTCTCGCCCAATCAAAAGGAAGCTGTTCCTCATTGGTTGCCCGGCTTTATCGAATGACTATGACGAGCTGGAGTTGAGCCCACCTCATTGGTTTATTCCTATGGCCCATTGTCAGGGGAAAGCAAATCAGACACTTAATCAATATTTTGCAAAGTAGCACTAGACTCCTGGCTAAATTTGCATTAAATTCCTCCCTGTCTGTGCCTTTGCACTCAGAGAGCATCATATTAACTTCAGAGGTAGAGAGAGAGAGGCAAGCAATCAAACACTGTCATCTTCAGCCACTTTGGATGTATTTGTGAGCCTAGCTAAAAATCTTGCAATGTCAAACATGCAAAAGAAAAATTAGTTATAAACAAAATGTAAATCTCCTTAACAGAAAATGTAAAACAGAAGTGTACGTAATTAGGCTAGATTAATGATGTTCCTTCTAGATACAAATGAATTCCTTCCTTCCTTCCTTCCTTCCTTCCTTCCTTCCTTCCTTCCTTCCTTCCTTCCTTCCTTCTTTCCTGTAGTCATTCAACACATATTTATTGAAAGCCTATTCTGAATCAGGTTCTATGGTGGCCCTGGATACATCACACTGCAAGGCAAGAAATGTTTCATTTCTGGACTATTCCATAGCAAAGCAGGGTACCACAGGGCCAGGGTTCTTCACATTCTAAACAAAAGGAAATTGGTTCTAAAGGAAATTGGGCTCTGATCATCATCCATGGCATGAAATGGAACCAAGGTCCCACAGTTGGATTTATCCTAGAGAGAGACACAGATAATGAATCGAAAGTTGGTCTAATGACCAGGATTTCCCAGATTTCTACATAAATCTCAGATAAAATGTGGTTGCATAGTGGTCCCAAGGAAGAGAAATTTTGAGATGTTAATAAATTTCCTCTCTTTCACAGAGAAAATAGAAGCAACCAGGAAAGAAATTCCACATACCCTTTACCACCCCTTAGCAACTCACTTATGTCTACCTTCTAAGCTCCTTCTTATAACAAGCAAAGAGATTGTGTTTCTATTAAAACCAACACTTTCATTTATGCACTAGCCCTGTCCCCAGTCACCAACTCAAGGATCTCCTATAGTTCTCACCTTGATCTCTTATATCATCAAATTTTTAAATTTTCCCTCTCTTCTGATCATTTTCATCATCATGAAAATATGCCGCAACATCCTCATCTTTAAAAAAAAAAAAAGAATAAAGAAAAAAAACCTTTATGGATCCAAGGCTGACGTTCAGCTGAAACATGGATACTACCATGCTGATTGTTAAAATATTGAAACAATTTCTGAACCTGTTGGTAAAATCCCACGGCCCTGAACTTCCCAAGTCACCCTCTCTCACTGTTTTCAACCCAACCTCTCCCCTGAGACCTCCTGGACATTCCACAATCCAGCAACCAAAGAGTTAAAGTCTGGATCAGCAGGGCCCCCCATGACTCTGCCAGACCTATATTCAGCATCCAATCTCATTTGTCAGTGCCTGGCCACATTAATTAATATCATCCCTGTTTAGACCCTACATTTTCTTCAAGTCCTTCCTGCCCCCGATTATTATACTTTCCTCCCCTTTTCAGCAAAACCCTTGTAAGAGTCATCAATTCCCACTGTCTCTATTTCTCCTGTTTTCTTTTGAACACATTACAATCAAGTTATCTAACTAATCTTTTCAGCATTGTGGATTTTGTCAGAGTTATCAATGAACCTTTACTTTGCCAAATCTAAAAATAAATTCTTAGTTCATATCTTACTTGGCTTATTAGCAATGTTTGATACAGTTGACCATTTCTTCTTCATCTCCTTCAAACGTCAAATATCTTTATGGGTTTTTAACTTTTTTTTTCTCTGAGACACCAATCTCTCTTTCAGTTCACCTCTTTTTTATCAGTCTGCCTTTTGTTCTCCATTGCTGATTTCTCCTCATCTCTTTGACCTCTAAACATAGAAGTACTTTAGTGCTCAGTCTAGGGACCTTATCTTCTTTCCTCTATACATTCACTCTCTAGTGATCTCTTTCATTCTCTTAATATTGAATGCCATCTCTATTCCAATGACTGTCAAATTTGTATATCCTGCTTCAACATTTCCCCTGAAATATAGATTCAAATATCCAATTCTCAACTCTGCATCTTCACTTGAGTACCTAATATACATCTCAAATTTAAGTTTTATAAAACCGTATTATTGATCTTCCCCTCAAAAATTTTCTTAGTCTTCATCATCGCAGTACATGGCAACATCTTTCCAAAATCATTGGACTCAGGCTTGACTGTTCTCTTTTTCTCATACCATACTACAATCCACCAGCAAATTCTGTAGTTCTACCTTCAAATCAGATTCAAAATCTGATCATTTATCATCACCTCTCACCACAGCCATTCAATACCAAATCACTATCATGTTTCCTTTTTATTATTGCAATGACCATTCAAAGGTCTCCCTGCCTTCACCTTTGTCCCCCTTAACTATCTCTTCTCCACATATAGGCAGAATAAGTCGCTTCAAATATAGTCAGTTCATAAAACTCCTATGCTCAATGTTTTCTAATGGCTTCCATATTCTCCAGAATAAAATCTAAAGTCTATACACTATTCTCAGACACCGAAAGGCTGAGTTAACTATGGCACAGGTTTTGCCTTCAAGGAGTCCAGAGTTTATTAGCTAGGTTCTAGCTTTGCTTTACTATGTGACCATCTTGCAAATATGCTGCTAATCACAAATAAGACTGGGTGTGCCATGAGTGATTTATTATACAAATTTAAAAACAAAACAACAGAAGCAAAAACAATTTGTGCACAACTTAAATCTTATTGGTCAGTATGGACTTCAACTTTTGATTTAAGGGCAGAATAGTCCCTTAATATGTATTAAAATGATTTCATTTTGTCTCCACTGACATCATAAAGCTGACATTAAATTGTAATTAGACATTAACTCTGAATTCCAATGTACATAGGGAACACTAAAAATACCTGTTGAATAAATGGACCTCTTATTTCTTACCTGTGATGATGATAACTATGAATTGAATGTCTACTATTTAAAGTATGGTATTTCATATATTTAAATTATATTTTTACCCCAACAACTGATCTCCATTTTAAAGGTGGAGCCATAATTTTGTGTCTCAGAAAAGTGGAATGCCTTTTTTAAGTTATCATAATAAGTGGCAGTGAATGAGATTTGAACAATGGTCTCTGTGTGGCTTCAATGCCTGTGCTTTTGTCATAGCTATTTCATGATGAGGCATTGTATATCTGTAAGACTTTTAACATCATAATGCTCTCATTATTATTATCTTGACAAATGTCTAAAGATTATTGAAAAGCGAGAGGCAGACGTGCCTGTCCTTGGTTTATAGATGGGTATGCTAAGGTCCAAAGAGGCTCAAGGTCAAGCAAGGAGGTGCAAAGTCCCTTCTTCTCTTCCCTTCCTCCAGTGGAGTTTCATTGCTGACTCATGCTAGCTTACCTATATTTTTCTTAGCGAAATGAATTGAACCCATTTACCCTTTGAGTTCCAGAACAGATTTTCTAGAATCTACAATCCAACAGTTTTTACAGTTCATTAATCATCTTTTCATACATCATTCTCTACAATGCCAATTCTGTATCTCCTGGAAGGTAGGAACATAATACTATTTTCTGGAGATGCTCTCAAGCCCCTGGGAAGCTGAGTCCAACTTATTAAACTTCTAATGTCAAGTTTTAATCAGGTATTTGCTTATAATATGAAATAAAACAATTTCAAAATGTGTGCACTTGTCTGTTGTGACATAACCCAATAAAAATTATACTCAGTGTGATGAATATTTCCTAGATTTCACTGTAGTTTTGAGAATTAAGCTTTTATTAGCTCGTCAGGACTTACCTCTATTCGTACCAAAAATGTCCCTTTTTGTCATAGCCTCTGTGTTGAATGATTATTCTATTGTCAAGGAGAAGAACCAAAGAGGAGAATCCTATTGAGGAAACAGAACAATAGAATGACAGTGTGTAGCCTCTGTCAACAGAAGACTGATCTTCAAATCCATATAAATATGAAGAAGCCCCAGCTGACTGAGTGAATCAAGATGAAAATACAGCTATTAGAAGGACCATAGCTTTATTTCAGTTCTCCAAAGAGGAAGGCAATAATTCAAAGCTTTGCAACTGGGTCAATTCCATGGAATGAAGAATGAATGGTCATTCAGTCATTCAACAAGTATGCCTGCTGTTTTCAAGGCACTGGAGTCAGGGTTGCAATGGGAAACCCTTTGTGAAATGTTACATTGTATGCACAAGTTGTTTATAAATAGCCACTTTGAACTTTGCACCTCAGACACTTCCGCACTTGTATACCTGTATATGCTGCTGAAGGAAACCACCCTGGAAAAATCAGAGTTAGAGAATAATTGTATGGTAACAACCCTTTTACAGTCCACAGAAAGAATTTTAATACCTACACACACAATGGAAACAGTGAAAACAGGTAAACCTCTTTTAAATGAATTGCTATTATAGGCTACTTAGAAGAAATATTTTGAGATAAAGAGAAGTCTAGTGGTAACACAAGCTATGTAACTCCAGACATGGTCCAGGAACCCAAACAAAAACATTTTCTTAAAAAGTAGGTTAGGGCCGGCCGAGTGGCTCAGTTGGTTAAGAGCTCGCTCAAGAGTTTGAGCTCTGAGCAACAGTGGTTCGAGTCCAGCCTGAGCTGAGCAGCCGCTGAGCTGCCAACAGGTAGCAGGATGGCTCAGCTTAAAAAAAAGTAGGTTAGTTCTGGTTTGGTTTACTATAATTACGTCTGCAGCTGATTTTTCAGAAATCAATCCTTAACATGTCATATGCCCTGGAGATATAATAGTTTCTGTCACATTCATATAGTTAATATGCTTTCTTCTAAGTATTTTCCCTGTGTGTGGTTCATGATCATAGGATTCCTGAGGGAAACATTAGAGTTAAATTTTTGAGGCTTTTTTTTCTCGGGAATTTTATCAGTACTGAGTATAGAAAAGACTCTTCTAGAAAGTCCAAAGTCTAAATCAATGGCCTCGCAAATGGGAACACTTCTGTGGACTGGAACAAGGTTACCATGACACCAAGAATCAAGGGCATGTACATGTTGGGGACATACCAACTCACATGACCCAGAGTTGGAAGAGATTTGGGTGGGTCCAGCCTGATCCTCTTGGCACCTTCGTGAAGACTATAGGGTTCTGCAGAGGACAGTATGAAGACTACTGAGCTAGTCTACCTCCTCACTTCTCAGAGAGAGAAACCAACACCATGGAAGACAAAATGCCTCATTCAAAATCACACTCATATAACCAGTTGTTGCTGAGCTGGAATGAGTTTCCTGATTCCCAAGACAGTGGTTTTCCTCATACCAAATACCTGCTGCAGTCTCCCTACAACAAAGTTTCCTCTCCATTTCAGGCAACCAGAGCAGGCCAGGTTGAATCAAAGCCATCCAAAGCTGTTTTCCAGTGCTAGTCTCCAACCAGGCAATGCCAACCCTAGCATCCAGTCCTGGCCCCTAGCACTTATGTTCTCATTATTAAAAAGCTGATGTTTATAAACAAACTGTAATTTAAGCACTACAGGATCAGAGAGGAGAGGCCAAAATGGAGGAATGTTGACTCTTAAGGCAAGAAGGAGCCAGTTTACAAATTTCCAGTCTTGTTTGTCTCTGGTGACAGGTACATAAATATGCAGTTGCTACAAAGAACTTTTTATAGCTTAACTCAAAATATTCCTCAACTCCAAAGCAAGTTGCACAAAACTTGCTCTATCCCAGTTTGGTTAGGTGGGACAGTTGGGGGACCAGTAAGTTGGAGTTGTTTTCGGGTTTGAGACATTCTGGTGGCAACATTATGGAAAACTCTTTGTAGCCCTTTGTGGAACACCAGGACAATCCATTGACTCAGACTATATATGACTGTATATGACTTTACCAGCTCTCTTCTTGGGACACACACCATTCCCAACAGGCTCCAGCCAAACAAGATCTGTAAGATCTGGAGCAGCAGCAGCAACAGCAGCATAATCTGAGATTTGTGCTGTTTTCCCCTAGTGTTACAATCTGGTAGTGGTCATTTTGCTGCAATAACAAGTTGTATTTCCCTTTTTGTGAAACAATCTAGAGACTCGGCTGCTTAAATTGTGGTCAAGTGCATAGGCATCGCTGGGAGCTTTGCTTAACAGGAGGAATCCTAAACCCCACTCCAGACCCACTGAATTAGAGTCTGCATGTTAGCAGGTGATTTGCATGCACAGGAAATGTGAGAAGCTCTGACCTAGAGATTAAGACTATGACTCTCTGGCTTTCCCATTAGTTCCATCTATAACGTTTCAATTAATGGACCACCTTGGGTTTTCTGGGCATTTAAAGGGAGAAAGAAAAGAGCCCAATGAAATCCAAAACTTAATTAAAATGTTTTCTTGTTCTTCTCCAGTAAGCTTATCACCTCCATTTTTTTTTTCTCCAATGGCCATTGGAGCAGAATTTGCATCAGATCACCAAGATTTGCACCGGAGGAATATGCATTGTGGTCTGTGATAACCAATAGAAAATATATTTGGTATTAAGGTAGCTCTCCATTTGTAGACATACAGTTGGCCACTGTCATTGCCGGGGGAGCTGCTGGGGGGTTTGCAGCGGTGAGATGCCCAGGGAAAAGAAAGCACACAGAGCCGACATGAGGAGGAACCAGCTAGCTCGCAGCTTTATTCACCAATAGTAACTATTATATAGAGGTTTTGGGGGAGAAGAGCACACAGAAGTGGCATGCTCCCTCCCGCGGCTGTGAATCATGCTTACGTAAAGGGCTTATGGCACCGGAGCCTGGCGCCTGTGCAGCAGGCTCCGTAGTCAAGGTTTATTATGTCTGGGGACAGGGTCCATGCATCAGCGGCCCCCGCTTGTGTGGGCCCGGACCTTGTCCGTGGTCAGGGTCCATACACCAGCCTGTACACAACTGACTCAGCCCGGGCCCTGTCAGTCCACACCCTGCAGGGTGGCGGTTCAGGACTTGACCCAAAGAGCGTGTCCCTGTATACAAAGACCATAACAGCAATACATAGAGCAACAGAGGACCATGAGGCTGACGGCAATACCTGCCAAGATAAGGCCTGCCCATCTCCATTAAGAGCCAAAGGAATCCCACCAATGGAGAAGGGGGTCATTATGCAGGGCCTGGATTGCCAAAACCTTGGTGTCTATCTCCTGCAAGGCCCCCTGTACCTTTTTTTGGTGGTCTGGGATGTAAATACAGCATTCAAGGTGCAAGAGGGCACACGTCTCCCCTTGCACAGCAGTTAACAGGTCTAGGGCCATCCTGTTCTGTAAAACCTTTTTTATTTGGGCTGTTTTGTCAAGGAGCAGGGCTAAAGAGGCTCGCGTGACATTCAGGACATTTGTGACATGTTGGGCAAGGGTTTTTACCCGTAGCTCTACGTCTATCACTCCACCCCCTGGCAATAAGATGGCTAAGTGGTAAAACTACCAGGCCACCTGCTTTGTGCATGAGCACTAACCTAACAGCCCTAAGCTCAGCCCATTGGCTACTTTGGCCTGGGCCAGTTTTATACCAGAACTCTTCCAACTCTGGCTTTAACCCCACGGCTGTTCATGTGGGGTGCTGGCTGCAACAGTAGCCATCCATGTACCATGCCCCGCCAAGGGCAGGTGGCTTTCCTTCCCTGTATGGGCTGGTCACCTCTACAGGATACTTAGGAAGTGCTTCTTCCTTGTCTTCCCGGAAGGCTACCAGGCCCAACAGCTCATCAAAGCGATCCATAGATTCAATGCAATCCCTATCAAAATACCAAAGGCATTTTTCACAGAACTAGAGCAAACAATCCTAAGGTTTATATGGAACCATAAAAGACACCGAATAGCCACAACAATCTTGAGAAATAAGAACAAAGCTGGATGTATCATGATACCTGATATCAAATTATACTACTAGACTATAGTAATCAGAACAACATGGTTTTGGCACAAAAACAGACATGTAGATCAATAGAACAGAATAGAGAGTCCATAAATAAATCTATGCCTATATGGTCATTTAACCTCTGATAAAGGAAGCAAGAGTTTATATTGGGGTAAAGACAGTCCATATAAAAATGGTGCTGGGAAAACAGGACAGATACATGTTAAAAAATGAAACTGGACCACCTTGTTATGCCATATACAAGAATAAACTCAAAATGGATTAAAGACTCAAATGTAAGACCCCAAACCACAAACCCCTAGAAGAAAAAATAGGAAGTATACTCTCAGATATTACCCTTAGTAATATTTTTACTGATACGTCTTCTCAGGCAAGGGAAACAAAAGAAAAACAAACAAATGGGACTACATCAAACTAAAAAGTTTTCTCATAGCAAAAGAAATCTTCAACAAAACAAAAAGACACCCTACTGAATGGGAGAAGATATTTGCCAATGATACATCTGATAAGGGATTAATATCCAAAATATATAAAAAACTCATGTAACTCAACACCAAAAAAAACAAATAATCCAATCAAAAAGTAGGCAGAGAACTGAATAGCTATTTCTCCAAAGAGGATATACAGATGGCCAATAAACATATGAAAAGATGCTCAATGTCACTAATCATCAGAGAAATACAAATAAAAACCACAATGAGATACCAACTCACTCCTGTCAAAATGGCCATCATCAATAAATCAACAGACAAAAAGTGTTGGTGAGGATATGGAGAAAAAGGAACCTTTGTGCACTGTTGGTGAGATTGCAAATTGGTGCAGCCACTATGGAAATCAGTATGGAGTTTCCTCAAAAAAATTGAAAATAGAATTACATTATGACCCAGCAATTCCACTCCTGGGTATTTGTCCAAATAAATCCAAAACACTAATTCAAAAAAAATATATGCACCCCTATGTTTATTGTAGTGCTATTCACAATAGCCAAGATATGAAAACAACTGAAATGCCCTTCAATA